CATTTATAGAAGTTCCTGTTAATTCCCAGGAAACACTTTTAACTGAAAAGCTCTTCTCTCCAACTGGATTCCTGAACTATTTTATATAAAGACTGCTATATCCTTTTGCTCTTCATTCCTAGAATAAATAAAGAAACATTACATATATTATACATGTATATAAAAAAACTATTTATAAATTCAAATTAATTTTTGGCATTTATGTACATACATGTACTTAAAACAGCTACAATATTATTCCAAGCAATACAGGACTTCACGGTTAATGACCCCATATTGAATAGGGGGCAAATGTTCATACTGGAGGTGAAAATGGTATGAAAAATACTAAAAAACATCATTGAAACAGAACAGCCACTTGGAAACATGCATAGGTTTTTCCCATATTTTCATACCATTTTCCAGAAAATCTGCCCCCTATCCAATATGGCATCATTAGTTAACGAAGTTCTGTATTGTCAACTTATATTATTTTTTTTAGATTTTTTTAAAGACTAAAGACACTTTTAAGACAGACTATTAAATTAAAATGTTTCTTTGCAGTAATAATATGTATGGCTTAAGCCAAACTTGTCTAGACTAAGTGGCCGTAATGAGTCACAGATATTTATTTTACAGGGGGCCAGGGGCGTAGCAACTTTTAATTTACTGCAGGCACATTCGCCATACCAATTATTTTTTAGACACCTCATTGCCATACCAGTTATTCTTATGATATGGCACAAACCCTTCTAGAAAGGACATTTTGCCGTACAAATATTAAATACTTTCCCTGCTACGCCTCTGATTAATCCAGTTTGAACTCTGTGTCCCGACGGCCAAGTCAGAAAATACTTAAATAGCTCCCGACACATTCAAAGGGGGTTACACCTCTGATTATCAGAGTGAATTCCATTTCAGAGATACTTATTGCTATTATAATCATTTCCAATTATCTATATGTCTATGTCTACGTAGTGTACTGTACATAAATATCATTTTTTTTATATGGCCAGTGTGGGGAAAAAGGACCCCCCCTTTTTTCCCCAAATACATAAACAAAACAAAACCGTAATCGTATTTAAAGGATCCGGTAAGTCTTAGAAAACATTAACCGAAATGATTAAAGGAATCAAGTGCAACAGACTCAAATATAAGTGAATATATCACATGCATGTTTGCGCGGTTTCTGCAAATTCAGTGAAAATCAGTTCAATGGAAATGCTCACAAACGTCATCAACATTTTGGTGATATGATGCATAAAAGAATGAAATATTAATAACTTAACTTACCTCAAACTTGCTGTCACTCGTCTTGCATCTATAAAGTAAATATTAATCGACCTTCGACGTCTTTCAAATTTCCAAAGCAACCTTGCGGAAATGTTACAATTACTCTAAAAGAAACACGAATCCGGATACGGTCTGATATTCCGGGAAGTTCTCGTTTTTACATGTTTCGGTTCCAATTAAAATTAATGTTTACATTGTTTATAATAATGTACAGACGAGAAGCAAAATACTTTTCTTTAAATACAAAATATTTATTGGCGCAAAGTCATTAATTATAACAATGAATGGTTCCATTTAAAAGTCAGTCCTGTACAGTAGTATTGCATATAATAATACTTAAACAGACATATATTAATAATGAAAAGTTTATAGGATATTTAGAAAAATGTGAGTGGAAATAATTAGACCATATTACAATAATCACATGGGATGTTTTAAATCTGAATTAGGATAAGAAAAAATTGACATGAAAAAATATCACGGCCTTTTCACTGGTTTCAGCAACCAGTGAAAAGGCCGTGATATTTTTTATTAAGCATTAAGCATGAAAGGACAAATTATCACGGCCTTTTCACGGGATATTGAAATTTCACGGTCTTTTTTCTAACATCAAATATTTTTCACGGCCTTTAGAAATATTTTTTTTACAAAAGTCACGGTGTATTTAACGGGTTTTTCACGGCCCTGTGATATTTCACAGACAATTCACGGCCTTTTCATGGGCTGTTGTTACAGTAGTGTATTTTACTTATATAACTTGCCGAAAGCTATAACCGTTTATTCATTCATCAATATAAAAACTTCCATTAATTGCATTTGATACATTATCCTCACACCGTTCTCTTTTCCGGCAGCGATCTTAAAGACTTTCCGCTTAGAATTTTCCTTGGAGTTTGATATTTTTGTTATTTTACTTTTTTTGTTTACGTTCCAAATGTTTGAAGGCCCTGTGATATTTCACAGACATTTCACGGCTTTTTCATGGGCTGTTGTTACAGTAGTGTATTTTACTTATGTAACTTGCCGAAAGCTATATCCGTTTATTCATTCATCAATATGAAAACTTCCATTAATTGCATTTGATTCATTATCCTCACACCGTTCTCTTTTCCGGCAGCGATCTTAAAAACTTTCCGCTTAGAATTTTCCTTGGGAGTTTGATATTTTTGTTATTGTACTTTTTTTGTTTACGTTCCAAATGTTTGACGTCTGGCATTTCTGTAGATCGTTATTTCAGTGAACAAAGGCAATAGTAGTATACCGCTGTTCAATAGTCATAAATAGATTTAACTGAAACAAATCCGGGTCACAAACCAAAACTTAACACATCTTTCTAATTTCACATACCTTCATAGATGGCATTTCTCCAAATCCCGCCACACATTCTATATAGTTCCCCTCCACAAGGAAGGTTGCATTGCAATTCCGATGCTTGGGGATATGCTCGGCTGTAATATTTGTTTCCTCAAAGGCACCAATGACCGGCCTGACAAATATAGATTTGTATGTTACCAAAAAAAAATAAAATCGAGACTTGAAATTATGAGTTGGAATATTAAGGGTAAGATAATTTACTTGTACTGGTGATTTATATATTTGGTGATTACTTATTGGTTAGACAAGAGATATTTACCAATCTGCTTTTGAATTATGCTTAATATCTCGTTGGTACATGTTGCTCAATCGTTTTTTTTTCTATAAATTTTTGACTTTGTTATCTTCTGACTCTTTGCACATCTTGCTGATCTTGTCATTGATTTGAAAATCTATGTAATACCTTATCCCATTATTTCGGTACTGGAATAAAATACCGAAATTGTTTAATTGAAATTTGCTGTTATAAACTTAAGAAATTATTTTAAATTAAGGTACAAATGTATATATATCCTTCATGCAAAGCTCTGATTCCTTGTCTAGATTTCGCTATACTTTATGCACTTTTTAGTTCAATCAATTAAAAGTAAAGAATAAGATTAGTATAAAGAGGGGGTAAACTCAGATGCACTTATAGTGTAAGGAATTTTCTATTTTCTATTATAACTTACTTCGGCTGTTTTCTGCTCTTTGGTCGGGATTTTGTCTCTTTGACACATTCCCCGTTTCCATTCTCAATTTTATTTTAACTGTACTTACTATTAAATATACCAACTGATGTATGCCCAGAATTGCAAACCTTCAAGAAACACTTTTTTTGACAAACAATTCTAGATGTAAAATGCGGACCACAACTACTGTACAATTTGCTTATTTTAGATAAGATTGGCAAGTCCTTATTGCTGTTTTACCTGTAATCCAAGATTCTTGTACCCTCTACAGTGATCTCTGCATTTCTCTAATGTTATCAGATGCAAAACCTGTATCTTGTGCTTTAACATACGGTTGGGGTCATCCACGAAACCTCCAACATAGCCTAGTAGAAGAAAATCATGGTGTTATTAATACATGTATACAGAACCTGTAAATTCAGCAACTAATTCGTTTTTGTTTCTCGTTTTTTTGCGTACAAAGAATCGTTACGAACAAATGAGATTGAATTTTATTTGTTTTCCGTCAAACACAAACTCTAAAAGAAGTGAATGTTGTTTATTTTAAATTCATATTCAGCAAAATACTTCATATTATTTTCTTATGACGGACAATGACCGCTTAATTCAGATTCGTCTCAAAAGGTACAGATTAAGCACGATAATGAAGTGTCACATATTGCGAATTTTTTATAATTATTATTATTTAATAATTCTTATCTGATTTGCATATAAGGGAACACGTTTATATGATTGGTCGAGGGGGCTTCTTGAAGTTATTCCTTTTTTTCGATAGACGACGTTGACGGAACTATTTTTTGTAATCAATGTAAACAAGATGGCAGCGATAATACTGTGACAAAAACCGGCTCGACGTTACTTTGCAATCATCGTTAAATTAAATAATAAACACAAAACATTCATTTGAATGAAAATAAGATATTTTTGTAGTTCATCTTTTTATCAGATAGCAAATAATTTTCATGGAGTACATTTTTTTGCGTTAACCAAAAAATATATTCATGCACCAGGCCAATTCAATGACACAAATATACAATTTACGTGTGATAGAGGTTACGAGTGGGAAAATCATGTATAATTCATTGATGTATAAACTGGACCAAGTCCATATTATAAAAGTCCTTCAGACTTTGATTTGTTTGTGAGTTAATTGGTCCAGTATATACACCAATGAATTCCTTTAGAAAGGCGTTTAATCCTATAATAAACACTTCGTTTGCATCAAATTTAAAACGAAAAATAAGTAAATAAAAATTAAGTAAATATTTATGAGTATGCTTATATATATATATAATGTGTATAAATACAGTAAATACATGTTACCATATCCCTCCGTTTCACACAAATATCAAGTATGTAAGAAAATAGAAGGAAACTTCCAATTGAGGTCGTATAGTGAGGGACGTTCTTGTTTATACGACGAAAATAAAACGGAAAGATGTCTTATTTTTTTTTTATATAGTGATTAAACATTTTACACAATGTTGACTGCTGTACCCAAACTTTTGACATTTTTACCTTTTATGTCTTTGTTTTGCTCACACATTCTTGTCAGTTTAATGGAATTTTATGCGAGTGTCATACAAGTGAGAGGTTTAGCTAGCTATAAAAACCAGGTTTAATCCACCATTATCTACATTTGGAAATGCATGTTCCAATTTTGTAAATATTGAATGTATTTACCTCTATAGTGTCCAATATTTGTGTATGGATTTTAGTAAACAGCACTGACCAAACAAAGGACAAGAACCATCAAGTTCTTCATAGTTCCCTGTAAGCTGATATTAATAATTTGAAATACATTTTTGTAGAAACAACAATGATCAAATGGTAAAATTATTATAAACGTTAAAGGGAAAATTCGCGATTTTTAACTTTTCATCTTATTATGTTCATAATACCATAAAAAACATATTCACCAAGTTTTATCTGGATATGAACGCTAATAAAGAAGAAAATTGGGAATTAATAATTTAATTTATTCGAACTTCCTGACTTCTGTGACGTAGTTTAAGTCTTTTTGCATGCCGGGAGTGAATAAATCTCATTGTAAGTCTTGTTCGTTAATGATCTACTAACGCGATTTAAAGCGCAACGACGACTTTTGGCGTAGCTATTAACCAACTAATAATTAAGAAAGTAAAGTAATCAGCCGTGCAACTTTCAAAATTAAAATGTACGATTTATATTTAAAGGATTTCTGATATGATTATAGTAATAAAAGTAAATCATACAATTGAATATATTTTTATGAATTTTTTTTTCCGACGGATATTTTGAACAAACATATATAACTTATATTGTTTTACAAATGCATGTTTGTATTCTCACCTGAAGGCTTTTACTTCAGTCTAGCAAACATTTCCCACCTAAGTACTGTGTAAATACAATGTGTATTGTACTGTGACACTTAGTGACTACCTGTTGAATGTGAAGTTAAATTCAAGGTAATTAAAAGATTAGCATTCTGTAATTCTATTCTTTTGATCTTCACTCAGTGAATTTTAGCCAACACGGTTCACCGTTACAGGTGTGAACAACATTTCGTATGAATGATAAAAACATTATTTGGGGAGGAATATGGTGGCAAAATACCTGAATCGCCGTTATATATATCTTTTAAATTTTGCGTAAGCTTAATTTCAAAATAGATACGTGAGTATTTCGTTGTAACATCGAAATTCTGAATTACTTTCAATTAAATAATTTTATAAATAAAAATGGCCCACGAAAACGAGCGTATAAACCAAACACTGTACTTACTTTTTCAAATTATCATGGGTATAAACCTTGAATATTTCAATGTTTAGAGAAAATTATCGCGGTTACATGATTAATATACCTTGGTCCGTCCACAGCGATCTACATTTACCTAATCGGGAATGCCCTAATTAAAATATTTAAAATCTCACAACGTATACATACTTTAGCTATTTGACCAACGATGTTTAAAAAAAATAACAGAATCAATCTAACGTCAACTTTCCTTTTTTGAATGGAGACAGACCGGCGGAATCAATTTTCAATGTGCATTATATCTTGTACCTTTGCAAGACTTATCATTCATTCATAAACCCACTCTATACCAGAGACATATATGTCAGTCTTAACTGACAAGAATACACCTAAAGCGGACAAGCAGTATATTCTTTAAATTTCTGTGATTTAATACCAAGAAAGAAAAAAAACCCGAAATTAATTTGATACTTTGATACTCAATATTTTTACTTGAAAATATTCACATCCTCGTTTGGTCTGAAAATAAGATAAGAATTTTGTATACAGAACATGCAGAAGTGTGAATGTCATAAAACCTTGTTATATCAGAAACCATTATAATGTGAACCTGTATACGTAAGACCTCATGGGACGTCACCTAACCACATACAGGTAATATACAAGTAGCTCTGTTATACCCGGAAATGTCGAGGTAAATCACTACCGATACAGAATGTACCAATGCAAAGAAAATTCTGATGATTGTGAAGCATGACCATTCATGATTTTAGAGGAGTCTTAGGTGGAAATTGCCGATACGATTTAAATTCTGACTAGATTTTTTTCTCTCAATTTAAATCACTGAACTAAAAAAAAGAAACCTACGTCCAAGACCAGAATTCTTCATGTAAATTTATAAATACAACGTTCTTATTTTGTTACTTTCGATATACTTTACCTCCAACCACCGCCCCCTCCCAACCTGGGAACAGTATATCTAACATTACAATGTTTATTTACCTGCCCAAATCAAAAAAAAAAGAAGAAAAAAGAAAGAGATGAACGGTAAGTCACATCAGATTCAAATATTTATATGGTTGATTGTCGTTAACTAGAGATGTATAGTTACATGTCTCTGCGTTAACTTATAAGAATGACAGGAAAGTATATACTTTAAAGAGATTTATGATGCGGCACCCCTTTTTATCAAAGTGTACATGCATGTATTTTAATGACTGTCCGTTATTTCGATTAAGAATGACAATTGTACGTGAAATTCTATAGTTGCCAGGGAGACTTTTTTTTTTTACCAGATATGCGACTTTTCGTATTTATATTTTCTCTTATATTACTCTCATTTAATATTTTATGCATAAGTGCAATATTCGGAATGGTTTATTCTCCGACAAGCCAACTAATCAGACGTTAATACAATTACTATCAGTCTATCCGGAGTGAAGTTTCTTTATTTCTTCAAATAGTTTTTTGGGGATCATTAGTGTACATCCAGTGGCATATATATTACATGCATGTCGGAACATGAAAGTTAGCATAATGTACTTTTAGAACCATGTTCACATCATTATACATTATACCCAATAATTGTGGTGATGACGAATTTCTTTAACTGTCCGAGAACAATCTAAATGAAATATAAATCTGTGATTTTAATATGTCGATACCTTCGATGAACCAAAGCAAGTAAGATATCAACCTGTATTTAAATCAAATTGGTTCTGGATGTTTCTCTGTTATATTCAAAAACATGTATATATTTTTAATTGCGACTATCTATAGTTCCGTAACTTTCTATCTAGGCGTAATAACCAATGATCGACAAGTGCGTACATTTTTGTTAAATCAATATTTGTATGTTTTAAAATGTCCATCATTATTGACAACCAGTATATACTTACATTTTCCACAATTTACCCTTGGAAAAATTTTATCAAATCTTTTTTTGGAATTATTTAGATTTTCATAAATATCATTCTTTACACCAGAAATGTTATTTATAAACAAGCGTTTGTGTTTAGTAATGACCAGTATATCACTATCGGACACGCAAGACAAAGATGTATATTACACCTGATAGTTTCAAAATGGAAAGTTACAAGTTATCGGCCGTGTACACTGATCAATACCCTCAGAAATGAAGGGATGCATGAACTTGCTTTATGTAATTGTGTAATAAGAGTTTCTAAGCCGGACAGGAAATCGCATGAATACCTGGACGTGTCACCTCACAATACCTCTGGGAATAATTCCTTTAGCCATGCTGGTGATCAGATTAGGGAAGGTCTGAATTTATTTAAATAATTAGATATAAGAAAATGTGGTATGAGTGCTAATGAGACAAATCTCCATCCAAGTCACAAATTGTCAATTTATAAAAGTAAACCATTATAGGTCAAAGTACGGTCTTCAACACGGAGCCTTGGTTTATTACATAAAAGTTTATTACATAAAAGTTTATTACATAAAAGAATAATGAACAAATTAGATTTTCGAAAACAATTATACACGGGACACTTATTTATGACTTTGAACTTTGACTTTTTAAGTAATTCCCATATAAATTTCTTGTTTCAAAACTTAGTAAAAACAAGGATTTGTATAGCAACAAATACAAATCCTTGGTAAAAAAAAAAAAGTTTAAAAACAACAGACCATATAGTTATTTTAAAAAAATAATTACATTTTCCGTATCATGTTAGTTAGGAAAGGTTGCACAACCATGTCTACTATAATCATTTTTGTGACCCGGGAAACTGTTTATGCTTTTCTTGTCGGATAAAACAACTGTACGCTTGACAAGATATCGACACGCAATTACGACTACGTTAGGTTACTGCTGGTTTTGGTCCTTTGTGGTTTACAGATATATCGTGGTTTCTAAACCGAGAAGATGTCAAAATGGCCGCATGCAGAGAATTGATACTCTAAATTTAAAATCGATGGTGATCTCTTATAAAGCAGAATAAAACTTTAATATTTATGAATTTGTGCTTTTTTATACAGAATGAACATAATATCAATTTTTCATTTTTTTGCGAAGTTTCCTCTAAATTACCGTCGATATCCCATAATTAAAGGATTCTGTGGATAAACTGATTTTTTTATTTGACTTACAGTAGCAATCATATTTCCTTTTTAAAAAATCAGTTCTTTTAAATTCCAGTCAATTTTAATGAAAACCAATACCCATTATTGTCCAACCCATAAAAATCAATAGAAAAATCTGGACCAATAAAAATAATATACGATATATGATACGAAATACGATACATACAGCGAAAAATATATAAAATGAAAACACAAAAAGTTCTTCCTTTTTAACGTTTTTGTTGTTTTAGAAGGTGAGAACAGATACAAAAAAATATTATACTGTCTAAACTAAAGACAATATCATGCTTAAATTGTGAGATTCAACATTCATCTTTAAAAAAAAATTTCGCATTTTGTCTGACTTATTTCCGCTAAACTCAACTTCTTAGATTGTTACAGAGGTAAAAGAAAAACTCATCAAAGATACCAGGCGTATAATTTTGTACCCCATATTGCGTTTCATCTACAAAAGACTCATCAGTGACGCTCGAATCAAGAAAGTTAAGAGGCCAAATAAAGTACGAAGTTGAAGAGCATTAAGGGCCAAACATTCCGAAAGGTTATGCCAAATACAGCTAAGGTAATCTATTCCTGGGATAGATGTGATCAATTGCTGGAATAGAGAATCCTATGTATTTCGAATTATTAAAACTTTAGTAGCTTTATGAGCTTGCCTCCTAAATCCCCGAAGAAAGTCAACCTGTATAATTGAAATGATTTTGAATTAACGTATCATATATTTAAATTTCAAACAATATGTAAGAATGTGTACTGGATTTACATGAGAGATTTATCCAGTAGAATACATGAAATTATGTACTTGTATATGTCAAATAACAAATGTTTCACCAATAGTCATCATGGTAATCTATATTTGGTGTGATTTTTGTCAGATAATTCATTTTCTAAATAAATCAAAATACAAAAAATTAATAGTTAACTTACGTGCAGCCGGTCTTTGTATG